AATCGCCGCTTTCTCTTCTCTTTCATGGCGCACCGATCATCTATCGAAGTAGCAGAGAGCTACGGTTTAGAAAAGCTTAGGAAACGAAACTCCGTGCGATCTTCGATGGACAACTGCATGATCGTAAGCGACACTGATCTAGGGCGCAGCAAGCACAGATTTCTGTCACGTATAAAAAAAGTCTCCCAACGGCGTTGGGCCGCGCAGTTGAAGGCGTCTAACGAATCTAAGAACGAATCCCTTTGTTTCCTTGGGTGACCGTGAGCAACGGTGTTCACCGCGACCAGTCGTCGTTGATGAAACGAAGTTTCTTGGTGATTCGATCGTGAAAATCTGATCGATGAACCGCGTAAAGGGTCGATCCCCTCGCGACTACCTATAGCCGGATGCTCGAACATAATCGATGAACGTTTCGTTTGTCCCGCGATAGAACTATGTACAAACGAACCGAGTGACGCCTAATGCTAAGACGCAACGTTATTTATGCATTTTACGCATCTCGTTTGGTTCAGCGACGCATGCTGCTGATGCCTTGAATCAGGTCTAAATGACGGAAATGTGGTTGGTCTTATTCCTTGATGCGATCAGCAGCTGTCCCCAAGTTTCATGCAATCTTCTTCTTACTTGTCTTCTTGCTGCGGGGCAGGGTAGCGAAGCTTGTTATCTGGAAAGCAAGCAATACGTTGTCTTTTTCACACGTCCTCGGAATAGCATTTTTTAGGGCAAGTTCAATTTTCAAATAAAATTCATTGCGGGTTTGCTGTCTGAACTCTACACTCTGCAATCTTTCACAAAACAAAGAGAAATCAATCGACGCTAAGTAATTCATCGATTGCATAGCACACGTCAGCAATCGGGTCGTTTTAAAACAAGGGAAAAGGATTTGGCTAACATAGTCCTTCGCGACAAGCAACAGTTAGTCATTATAGAGCAACCTATCTTTGACAGTCAATGAAATCAACAGCATGCACAAGTGAGGTACTCGCTAAATGGTTAGTGACTAAGATGTTGCAAATTAGGAGAATCACTCTAGAAACCATTTTCATACGATCTTAACGTGTTAATCCGTTTCTTCTCCCCAGACTTGCCAGTACAGTAGTAAAGTGTTTAAACATTGAGGAGGATAAGGAACGATGGTCGACAGAGGATTCGGTTTAAATTTGCCTTCACCAAAAAACCAGTCAATAAGTCCCATGTAATTTTCTTATCATTAAGATTGTTTTTCTTATCGTCTCGAATTCGACTCTCAGTAAATGTCTGACTCTAGCTTCTTGATGACTCGTGGCGAATGAGACATTTCTTTTATTTCTGGTTTCGGACTCTCAGCTGCTGTTTCGATCTTCTTTTTCATCTCAGTTGTCGTCTGAACTTTCTCTTTCGTCTCCGCTGCTGTTTCGACCTTCTCATTCGCCTCAGCTGCTGTTTCTACCTTCTCTTTCGTCTCAGCTACCGCTTCGACCTTCTCTTTCGTCTCATCTATGACTTCGACCTCTTGTTTTGTCTCAGCTTCGAGGGACTCCGCACTTGACGCTAGGACATACGTATCTGAACTATTCGAGCTATCGCTTTTATCATCAGTGGTTGTATCCTGGCTAGAGATGGGCAACTTCGGCGCGAGTTCGATAATCATTTCTTGTGGCTCGATGCTATTCGATCTTGATTGCGGAGCACTGATGTCCGAGGCGGAGTCTTCAGATCTTCCGGAACCCCTGTGTTCCCTGTGAAAGGCGCTGTGGAAGATGTTCTTTGGAATTGTCAAGAGTTTCGAAAATCCTTCTTTTGTTCTCTGTCTCTTGGATTTCTTGCCTTTGGATTTCTCAGCAACGTGTGCGATGAACACGTCCTTCTTCTGGCTGGGGTTCGCGAACGTCTTCACGGTACCGGTTTTAATTACTAGCGTAGCCTTCAGAGCGTTCTGAGAGTCGATTTCGTTTAAGTCTTCCTCGCTTGTCGTGAGAGGTATTTTGGGTGCTGGCTTCTTATTGTACTTGCCAGCTCGATTCAAACTATCTGAGATGCTTTGTGACATGTTAGCTGTCGCCCAACCTTCAGGAGTAGCAACATCAAGATTTCCCGTTTCCAATTTCGTAGTGTCATCAGCTTTGTTTGTTTCTTCAGCTGTTTTCATCTGTTCGGCATCTTTTGACAATTCTTTGTCCTCTGTATTATCATTCTTCGAGTCTTTGTTAGTATCTACTTTCTCTGGTACATCTTTTTGAGACGAGACAGCGATACTAGTGTTACTACCTTTCAATTGTTCCTGCGTGTATACAATGTTGTTAACCGCTCTGTGTGCTTCACTCAACAGATGCTTCAGCTCGTCGAATTTGGTCTGGCAGAGTTCGTCGGTTAAAGTACGTTCTTCGTTTTTGACGGTATCCTCAGATACAGTTGATGGCGCCTGATCAGTCATAGACGATTTTGTAACAACTTCAGCTACTGTCTCTTGGACTTGGGCTACCTGATGACTCGGTGTATCATCTGTTAACTTTTCTGGCATCGTGACATTTTCGGGGACAGTTTTCATCTCTATACTCTGAATAATCTGAACCTCTGCAGTCAAAGAAGAGTCCAAGGGTTTATCATCCGACTCCTTTGACTCTGCCTTGATTGCCAGAAATTCGGGGCCTGATTGACTGGTCTTTTCGACCGGGTCGTCGTTACCTGCGACAAAGGATCCACGATCGAGTTTGATATAATCGGCAACATTACTGTTTTGCGAGAGCAGGAGCAAGATCTCTAAAGCTTGCTCGGGGGTGACGTGACTCAAAGGTGTCGGAAGTGAGATGTTTATGGAGGAAGGGAATTCGTTGCTGTCGGGATCCTCGCCGGCCTCCTTCAAATACCAAAAATGAATTCGTTATACTATAGAATCGATGTCATGGAGCTACTGTGAGTCCCGACCGTGCAGCGATAACTACCAATTAGACGGCGGATCTTCTGCGATTTTTAGATACGATTGTCTGAAATGTAGTGTACTAAAAAGTTATCTACTAATTTATAAAAATCCGTATCCGCATAAATATCCGCAGTCTACCGACAATCAGACAATCAAGACCGAACAGCGACTGCGTCAAGTCTTCATCGGTAAAAACAATTCTAAAATTAGCGTTCGCTGTTAAGTCTTGATTTATTCCATCATGCAAGCGTGAATGTTCGAACTTAGTACCTCTGGCGTCTTCTTTGTGGTGGAACGCGGTTTTGCGCGTGTTCTTGCACCAACGCTCGACGTTCTAACCAACGTGTCGCCCTGAGACGAACGAGTTGATTGTAAGGCTTCTCCGCTACTGTATCCGCTGGATATGTCGTCCGAGGATCTTATATTACTGAAATTCAGTCGGGAAAAGATACAAAGTTATCATTACAGAATTTTTCGATTGATTTACATGATGAAATTTAGATACACACGTTAAGCTAATTGTCGGTTCCCTGGACCTCGGTTGTCTAACATCCACATCCACTTCAGAGAAGTACATCTCTACCCGATTGCTACTCGACTGTGTCCGACGAGGACTGTAGCTTCTTCTCCCAACGTGCTCTCTTCGACGAGGTTCCACTGCAATCAATAACAAATTTTTGATAATCCTTAATAAAATTCTTCTGCAGAATTTACATCGATTTCATTATAGTACGCGTACTAGGTTTGATTACAAAAGTCCCATTTCACTGGTTTCATTGGGCTAGCCGGTCTTCTCGAATTATCCATGAAAGTTTACAGACAAGTTTCGTTTAATTGATTCATCATAATGAAATTACACTGTACCTCGTCCCAATATTATTTTTAATATTTATTCGTGCATCATAACTGGATTGCGGGTGTATTCGAGAACCTACATTTTCATAGGAAGGTTTGAAGAAACTGAGGACTGAGAGAAATTTTTTTTCTGACCAATGCTATCAGTGAATTAAATATAAATAAAATTACATTGAATTCTAAACATTACATTTTACTATTTCTCCAAGGACTTTTTTATATTGTAGTTGCGTGGGGGAAGAAATAATAAGGCCAGGCTAACCCAAAAATATTGAAAGAATTCAATAATGTCCGATCATGAAACAAGGATTATTTTTGCCTATGTAAAATCTCCTTCGTTTCACAAATTTCGAAAAATTGTTTATCGCTGAACGTGACGAACAGCTTGCAGCTCGCAACAAAGCAAATCCGCAAGAATTATTGTGCTAGAATCGGTCAGCAACCTGCGATGTCCGTCTCGTCGTGCAAGTGCGACGTGTTTCTATTCTCGTCCTCCTTCTCGCTGGTCAGGTCGCTCAAGCTGTAGCTCTTCTTTAAATGCTGCACCAGCCCGCCGCCGCCCTGAAAGACCAATTTTCGGTTGTTTCAGCGAAACCGTTGACAATCCGCGCGCTCGAAATATCACATAACTCTCGTAACTTATTGTTAAAGCTTGTAAGTGCAAAAAAGAGACAGAGAAAAATAAAAGATCGAAGAAAAAGAGAGGGTACCAAAGAGAGCGAACAAGAGAAAAAAATTAGAAACAGAAAAAAATAGAAACGGAAAGTCTTACCAAAAAAAAACGCCCGGTATAAGTGAGGTGTTAATGTGTTATCTGCCGTGACCAGATCTACGAAACCGTCCTACGTCTCTAGCGCTCGATCTAGGCCGGGTTTTCAGTCCGTCGCCTATCCGGATGCGTTTCTTTTCTGACTTGCATTCTGGCGCGGGTTAACGGCAAGCGTGCTCGCGTGCTCCAGCGATAGAAGAAGCGGGTTTTCTCGTTGATTAACTGGCCCAACTCGTTAGACGGGATTCGACCGGCCGCGGAACAGAAGAGGAATCAATCGGTCGCGCGCGGGATGACCGCGGATACCGGCGCGCGTCGTTCTTTCCCAAGCCGGGAGAGGGTGGACCAACAGCACATACATTAAATCCGTTAATCAGTTGAATACGTTTATTCGAGAAAAAAAATGATCAAACATACCACATATCGTTTTGTAAAATCTTTGGGATCGGGTATAAAAAAAAGTCTTACTCTCTAAGCGTCGCTACTGTGCGCACCAGTTCGATCTCCCTTGGTTTCACAAAAGGCTCTTACGAGTAACGTTGACGTACAAGTAACGAGAATGTTCACGAATGTTGAAAAGAAAATCGAAAGAATACGAAGGAATCGTTTTACACGTACAAAAGAAAAAAAAGAACAGGAAACATAAATGAGTCTTTTCTTTGCGTTCCGCATTACTTTTACATCAACCTCACAGAAACGACTTAACAAAGGTAAAGCGTTACTCCGTTTTTTAATAATCTTGTGTGCTTTCCGTCTATCACCGTACACAATCTGTTGAACAGACATTCACATGGAATCACACAGTTACCTTAAACCACCTTGGTCAACAGTTGAAGATCGTTTATTAAACGGTAACCTTAACTCTAAGAATCTAATCTTCCGAGTGTGATATGTCGAGGAGCATAAAACGCGATACAAAACTGGCATAAATCCGTAGAAATCAACTTAACGTACATTATCAGTTAATTATTATATGTATATCCTATCACTTGATAACTCGCAAGTGACGAGCAAGTGGCTCACAACAGTTGTCGCTCCGACAATGTGACATGAACGAGTCAAAACGTTTTTGACGATCATCCAAGACTCGCCGGGATGTACAGAATCCCTTATCGTCGCAAGGGATCCCGTCGATTCGCCGGCGAACGCTTAATCCTCTGTAGCGCGATGAGTCGCAACTTAAGGTTGCTAGAAGGCACCCGAATCACCAAGTTTTATCACGGCTCGCGACTTGTCGCGCGAGAAATGCTGCGCTTAAGTCAAGTCTAAACCTACTGGTACAACAATACGTGTAGAAATCTCAGGAGTTTGCGGAAAGACACACACACAGCTCGAAAATGTTCGCCTAAAAGCTAACCCAGGAAGCTTCACGATCCTACTGAATCAAGCTCGGCGATGGAATCTCATTATTCGAAACAAATACCCATAGAATCCATTAGAAACAACGTTAACAATGATCCCGACTCGTCGTGAAGCCCCGCACGCTAAATACAAACCTATCTAAACGATCTTCATATAATGGTAACACGTAAGTCAATTCCTAATAAGCAACTTCACGCGATTAAAATGAGGATTCAGGCGGTTAAAAAACCCTTCACTGCCTCGCTAACAGCTAAGCTTACCACGAGAGACAAACGAATTTAACATGATAACAATTGGACTGCGAATCTTTATGCGTGAAAATTGATAAAACAAAAAAAGACTGAAAATACACCAGTACCACGGTACATTGATACCCATACACTATTACCTAAAAGTATATCAGCGACTGCATCGTGAAAACGATACAATTCATTTAAAAAACTCAATCCCAAATCAATTTTCCCGATAATCGTATGCGAACTTTACCGATCCAATCTGAACTACAAAATCTAGAGTACATAACTAATCTTTCAGTCAGCGACATCGGTTTTTCTTTTATCCCGCTGCTCATTGAATAATCCATCGGAACAGGATTAATCCATAAAGATCCGCAATCTGCTAACGACTTTTAAGAAACACACAAACTTGAATCGAGATTCCTGCCACCCGAAGTCGTAGACCCCACAATGCAAACGAGACACCTAGTCAAACGAGACACCTAGTCCAAGTACGATGGATACTTGCACGCGTCGTATTCATCGTCGCTGTATTTCGTATAGTCGACGGGTTTCTTGCGAGTGTTGGACCTCAGTTTCCTCGTCGTCTCTGTGGACTGTTTCTTTCGGCCCCGTTGCTTCTTCTCCGGTACCTTGAACCGATCCTCCTCGTCGCTGACGGACATCTCGTTCGCATCGCTGACGGACTTCTCGTTCGCATCGCTGATCAGCAGGCTGGCCACCTCCTCCGCCGGATCAAACTCCTCGAAGCTAAGGTTTAGCTGTCGCTGGGGCAACATCTTGGTGGTGCTCGTCATTTCTGCTAACCGCTGTTCCGTTTCCGTTTTGGGAGTCGACGTTGGTGGGTACTTGGCTAAGCTAGAAATCGCCGAGTCTGATTGGCTGCCAGGGAGTACATATAGCACGCTCG